GAAAAACAGAAAAAAACAAAAAGAATAAATTAATAAAAAAAACAATGTTATAAATGAACTTAAAATTATCATCTTATTATGGAATCTATTGTTGTAACTAGTCATCGTAAATCTTTTTCTACTGACAATGTAAATGAAGTGATTGATTTAAAATCACCAAAGCCATCTTCTAATAATGGGTCATTAGTAGGTACTGATGAATCTCCTAGACTATTGTCACCAAGAGATCCTACACACCGTCATCATATAATGGATGATACAACAAAATCCCTCATTACTTTTCTTGAAAAAACAAAAAGACCATCACAACGAGTAACAACAAGTCATGCTATGGTAATGGCAGCAAAACACAGGGCTTTATTAACAAATTGTAATAAAAGATATGGTAAAAAAATAGAAATTTTAGAGAGTTGTAGAAGACCAACTATTGGGTTTAGTGATGATCTTATTCAACAAAGTCTTCAAATTTCTTTTGAAGCAATGAAACAAACAGAAGAAATTATGAAAGAAAATATATTTGAAATGAATCAATTCTTTAGTGAAATGAGTCCTAAAAAATTATTACGAATGTATGACACAGTCGCAAGTTCAATTACACAAGAATCACTTAGTGCTGTTGTTGATTATTCATATGATGATTCTAAGCCTAAACAAAAGAAAATTATATTACGTTCAAATTTTTTTGTGATAAGTTCTATAAACAGTCAATACAAAGAAGTTATTTATTTAAACAATCCCTCAGTTTTAAAAGAAGGTGAAACTACATTAATCATTAATGGATTAACAGTTTGTTCTACTTTTTAATAATGATTTGTTCTTTGATTTATAATAACAAAAAATAAACATACTTATTGTCATAGAAAGTTAAATTCAATTCTAATGAAGTTTGTGATCAATGGGAACATGAATTAAATAATCTTTCAATTTGGGTAGAAAGTATTCCTAGAACAGTTATCAATGAAGAAAGTTCATCATCTAATCTTGGTGGATTGGACAAAGTTGATATAATGCCAACACCACGTATTAGACCATCACTAAGTCAAATTAAAGAAAACGAAACATCTAATACATCAAATCATATTCGACCTTCATTACCAGGAAATTATGAAGAAATGAAGAGACACACTAAAAAACGATCAATTTTCGGTAGAAAAGATAAAGAAGAAAAAGACAAAAAGGAAGAAACTAAGAATGAAAAAATTGCTTTCTTTGGAATCACTTTAGAAGATTATGGTAATAAGTTTAAAACTCAAACAATTCCACCTCCCATTAAGGAATTGATTCAATACCTTTATGTTAATGGTTCAAATACTGAAGGAATATTCCGTATTTGTGGGAATCAAGACACTATTCAAAAGATTAAAACTAAACTTGAATGTAATGAAAAAAATTTCTTTAGTTCATTTGATATTTATTCATTAGCAAGTACACTTAAACAATACATTAGAGAATTTCCTAGTCAAGTTATCTCCCCAGATATTGATCGAGAATTTCTCGATTTATATAAACGTTTGTTTTTTTGTTTTATTTTATTTTGTAGTAACATAATGATATTAAGAAATATAAGAGACTCATATTCTATAGGAAAAAGTGAAATGGCTGATGACCAAATACTTGAAGAATATCTTAGAATATTTGCAAAATTACCTCCAATCATTAAAGACTTTATTGAAAACTTAACGAAATTGTTAAGTCAAGTTCTTCAACATGCAAGCACTAATAAAATGAATTTAGCAAATATCTTTATTTGTTTAGGACCTGCACTTAGAGGATGTCCATTCTGTTATAACTATGCCACAGTCCATCATTCTGAAATTTTTTGTTCAACAAAACAAGAAGAAGAAATAAAAGAATCTATAAAAGAAGGGGAAGAAAATAATAATTCTGTTCCTCAGTAATACAAAAGCAAAAAGGAAACACTTAAAGAATTAGTGAAAAAGACCTTTTTTTTAATTGTAGCACATTATATAGTTACATCATTGGTTCATTGTAGAAAGAAAAGTTACTTAAAATAACTTAAACAAAAAATCAAATTTCTTTTTTTTCATTTTGTTTAAAATAAACAGAAAAACAAATTTTATATTAAATAGTAAATTTTATTATAATGGAAATATGGTATTTAAACCCTTCTTCTATCTAACAATTTCATTTTCATGGCTTTTTCCCTTACTAAACGTC